GGAAAAAGGATCTTTCGAAATCCACGTTTTCCTCGCTTTAATTGAGGTTTTCCATTGAAAATTCTGATACTGTTCTGTTGAAATGGCCAACAGCACCATCGTATCGAATTCATACTCGTTCCTCCCCCACTTGCCATATGTTTTGGATTCTGTAATGAACTCCATTATTAGGAATGTTTGTATTTTGGTACGTGTGGTTCTGTAATCCCCAAGAATTATTGCGACAAGAGCATCGGTATCTGGTTAATTATAATGTTGGATTGATGGATAGATTACATGTGGATGACAAAAGTTTCCCCCCTTTTTTTCTCTCGGTGTTCTTGTCTGTATAATTTTTCAATTGCTGTGTTCGCTCACAAGTTCAAGTTTATTAGTCATAAAGTGGATATAGGAGGGGAACGATCGGGGAAGCCAAAGCCAGCTGGTCAAGTCTCGGATAACATCTAATAAAAATAAAACCCAAACTGGGTTGCATGCTCTCAGTGCTCCATCCCGCCTTTACACACTCTAATGCCTATAATTATACAATTCCATATAGAGTATATATGGAGAGTCTATAGTATAGAGTATATGAGGGGGCGGGAACGGGTTTTTTGATCTTTAGCATATGGCTAATGGTGCGGCCTTATGAACTGCAGTGCGTCATTTTTATGGGCTACTATATGTTTTTTGGGTGCCATTTGGTGTTACTTCTATATACTTCGAAAGGGGCCTGAGAAAAGTGGTTCAAGGATGGAAAGGGGCTTGAATGGTAAGGAGTGTTGAAATTTGATTTTTTTTGAATAGAGTTTTTCAAAAAAGAATGGATTAAAAATACCTGTTATATTATTTCTACCAGAAACTCTTGCATGCCTGAGATCTGATCTGAGATCTCTCTTGGAAGCTCAATCACGACATTCTTTAGCTATATCGCTCTTTCGTAGTAACCCTTTGTTTTAAAAAATTTCACACAATTCTTTATTCATTTAATACTATTTGAAATAGTTGTTGTTTTTGTAGTTTGCATATCAGGTAACGATAATTGCAAAGAAGCTGCAGACAAAAGAAAACTGGTCATGGGAAATATATTTTATAATCTTAATGGAGGGGTGGGCAGGGGCTAGAGGTGGTGGAGCATAGAGATGGGATGGGAAAACTCATGGGAAGCTTTGGAAAAAGAAGAAAACTTGCCTCTGGCATCTGCAATAACTGTAAACCAAAGCTAACTGCACTTCTTGCATGGCTAGTTGTAGATTTATTACCAGCTGGCTTATAAGATTTTAGCCATTTGGCATTTATATTCATAAAATAAGCAAAAAAAAAAAAATGAAATTCTTTTTTTAATAAAAACTCTGTAAACTCTATAAATCAAACAAGTCAATCAAGTCCTTACATATCAGACATGGGGGAGGCAACTCTCCTACAAATATCCCTTCACCCATCCTCCATCCCAGCGTTATGCAAAGAAAATACATTGCATAACTGAGAAAAAGTGTGGTTTTTTGCTTTTTGTGATTTTTTTCTTTTATTTTTTTTACAAGTAACTTTCATCGATTTTTTCAGTGCAGGTTTGTTGTTGTTTTTTGGTTGGGGCTTGGACCCAAAGGTCGTTGCTCCCTTTGCTTTTGCAACCCAACCCCACTAGTGGGTTTATTTGATTTTGATTTCATTTGATTGTCGGTTGTGTATTTACCATTTCTTTGGCTTTCTTTCGAACTTCACTCATCACAACCGACTACAGTAATCACATATCTATGTATTTATCTTCATTATTGCATATTATTTCAGCTGAAAACGTTTTAATGCAAAATAACTAGACAATCGATATTTAATTACAAGTTTATGGTCGGTTATTATGAAATTGTTAAGTCTGGCATGGGAGGATATGTAATTATGTATAGAGTACTTGAAAGTGAAAATAGTGAAATTATTATTGATATTTTTAGTCTATTTTTCTAACCTCTCTATTGAAACTCTTGAAGTTCTTTGGCATTACATTTGAACTTAATCCCCCCAAAAAAAACAGAACATTGGCCCAATTTTGTTGTCCCACTACTAACGGCCCTGACATATCAATCAATCAACTATTCAACACCACCTCTGGTACTCACAGTACCCATAGTATTTATAGATTTATCTTTTTTCTTTTGGTACCCTACACCCACTGATATTGTATGACAATGCCCATCAGAAACGAAAGCGTGAAACTCGAAAAAGAAAACCGAAAAAAAAGTAATATAGAAAGAAATATAGGTAATTACTCAGGCTTAGATGGCAGGTCTCTATTTAAGTAGTACTTAGGCCCTTAGTCATGGCCCAAAGCTTTGGTTAATTGAGGGGGGTGGAGAGGAATGACCAGGAAGGAAAAAAGTGTCCACTAGAAACCTCGACCCAATTTGGTTCTGGGCCAGCTAATGACTATGTGGGGTGATAGTTTTTATTTTCCTTCAACCGGAAGTGGAAAAGGCACCTGTTGAGAGTTCCTGGCAGGTATGATAGGAAAGGAAATGCAGTTTTAAGTCTAGTAGTCTTGTAGGGGTAGTTCTAGGCTGGTTTAAGGTATTGGAAAAGGGCTTAGTTCAATTACCAATCAATACAAGAACTCGATTCGATAGATTCTCTTCTTTTTTTTGCCAACTTTCTGCAATTGCATGTCTTAGAAAGTTTAGCACTTTGACCTATTGACCTGCAGGCCATGTCTCAAGGATAACCCTATAAATTCTTGAACTACAAAGACCTCTAATTGTTAAAATACTTATCTCTTTATAGCTCTTTTTTGAAGCACCATGGCTCCCATGCCACGAATTCAATTGCCAAATGGCAACGCCTCCATTAAAGCCAATACAAATAATTTTCTTTACGCGGAGACCATGTCTGGTGATAGCAGTCCCACACCCAGCAGTCCACCTTCCAGTACAGGTAAGTTTCCAAATAGTAGAGATCTATAACCTATAACTATATATATCTTTATAATTCCAGCTGGCGTTGCTAAATCCCAGTGTTCTTCGCTCTCCGATGGCGAGTCCTTTGAGGGTTATGGCGAAAATGAGTATCCCAGCCAGCTCCGTGAAGGACGCAGCTCCAATTCCAATGCCAACAACAACAGCAACAATATCCTTAATAACAACAACAATAACAATCTGAGTGTGGACAATCACAGTGGACACTCGAATGATGGAAATAACAACTTGAACGGCAGTACTGGGATTGAACTTGATTTGGCGCCACATGCTGGGTCATCCACACCCCAAGAGTGAGATTAATTATATTACCTATTTAGTTAATATTTTATTAACTCTAATCTCTATTCTATTGTTTTAGTGATGACGAGTTAAATATCATGCCCCGAGACAATTGGGCCAGACGTAGTCTAAGGCGAACTCCCACCAGGTAAGATTACTCTACTGGCTGGACTTCCCAAAAAAGGAAATCGCCATCTAATCTGGGTGAATACGTAATAGCCATGGACATTAAGTTGGCCAAATACCCAGAGACTACATCAATTCAAAGTCTGTCCGTAGCATAAAAAAAATGTATAAAAAAGACGTACTTGAATACTTAACCTTTTCTTTATGTAAACCTGTGTATCTGAGGTATATGTATGTATGAGTGTGTGGCATAAAAAATGCATACCACCAGTGGCTGAAACCAGTTTTTTCTATGCTCCCTCTTCGGCTTTAGGCCGTGATTCATGCGTGATCTTCGGGTGCCTCTCTTTCGTTGCCCCCAGTAGCTCTGTCTCTGTTTCTCGGTCTGTTTCCGCCTTACCTGTGTGGTGAGTTTGAAAAACCCACCTGATCTGATCCACCTGAAGAGTTGGTATTTAAGAGAGTGGGATAGTTCTCTTAAATTATACTGCGTTGCGGTCTTATATTTATAAAAAAACATAGATTAAAAAATATAGAATTTTCTTAAATTCATAGATTTATTAATATTTGGTATATAATATTATTTTACAGCAATCCTGATAGTTTATCGCAGCGTCGTTGGGGATCCATGAGACAGTAAGCCCTACAAGAATTCATCATTTTTTGGGTTTTTATGTAGAGCCTCTCATATACACACATCCTAACTTCCATTATAGACCCATTTTTGGTTTTGGCTTAACAATTAGTTTATAAAATGATGTAAATATTTGTAAATATTATTGCGTATTTATTTATAGTTATCTAACTAATTTCATCTTCAATTGTTGACTTGCTTTTATTTTCAAGAGCTTTTCTTTTTGGCCAAAATTTATGTTTATGCCTTTCGGGGCTGTCATAAAAGTTCCAGCGAAAGTTAATTGCCTTGGAGGCCATACAAGTGCCCAATAAATACATCAGATTAATGGCTACAGATCCTAAAAGAACTTCAAGATTGAATCTCCTAGACTTTATGTAACTGGGATAGTTTTGCTTGTCAAGAGACCTTGTTTCCTGTTGCCATTTTTCCCCCTGTTGGCCAAAAGTAGTTTGTCTGCTTTTTGGACTCTTCTTTGAAAGGTTGAAGGTAGAGAGCTCCTTCCCTCCCTCCTCTTAACTTGGCTTACAAGCTTCACTGCCTCACTGGGGTTGTCATGCCTTTGGAATGTATATATACATATATCTGAAGTGAAGTGAGAGGGTCCAGAAACAGGTTTACTCTTCAGAATTTAGGCCGGCACTTTTGTCAAGTTGCGAATATAAAAAAAATTGACCCAAAAATAAAGCTCAGCCAGAGATTGGTGATATAGTAATTCAAAACAATGCAGAAAATCTGGAAAAGTAATTAGATTTCTTGGCATTCGGTTAACCCCTACGTAGGTTGCAATTTGTAGATCCAAACCTTGATGTTCCCACAGAGACTCCTCCTCTTGGACGACTTGGGCTTGTCATGGAAATGCCTTTGTTTTTTGCTCATCTGCTGGGAACACGATGGTTGTTCCTCCCCTGGCTTTGCACTTGACATTCGACAGAGTTACGATGGGAGAACTGAGAACAATTAAGGGAAAACTCCAAGATATCCAAGATTCAAATCTTGAAAGGGAAATGGGAAAAATTAGTAGTTGGGGAAAATGTATATTCCTGGAATTTTAAGTCAAGATAACTATATGTTTTCGGCCCAGTTATCAACAAAATAAATTGTTGTTCCTAGTCCACATTTTTTAATCTCTGGACAAGTCCTAAACATAGCCCCTGTTGGCTATAACAATATGTGGAATTACTATCATAAGAAGGACTTTGAGACCTCGGTGAAAATATCACCATTCTGCCATACTTGGCAGTCCGTATGCTGGGTGACTCTCAAGACTCATGAATGGGCCAAGTATATACTATTGGATCGATCCGTGGCATATCAAGTGGCCTTCTCAATGGTCATAATGGCCATTACGGGCCTGGTATCAATATGGTTTTGGAAAAGAAGACAGATTGTAAGTTTCTGATCTAAAATCTTGTTAGGAAATATCTTAAAGTTTGGGTTCCAACTTCCCATAGGTTCCCATTTCTGAAATTCATCGCCTTAGGGAGCGTGTTCAGTTCTGTAACCATGATATGGCCGTTTTGCAAGATACCCTTGACACGGCTCTGGAAAAGCGTTCCAGCACAGCTTTAGAGGTGGCGGATGATAAGCTAACCGAGGCTCTGCAAGAGCCGGAGGAAGAAACCCCGAAGCCAGATCCCATTCCTCCAGAAATAGAGGCCACCAGTGATTCCGAAACCCAGGAAGAGCCATCTCATTCAAAGGCTACAGAGACCGAGAAGGAGCCGGGAAAGTCTTCGATACCCATAAGGGTCGATAATAAACGCAAAGCCCCCATTCGGAGTAATATTAAACCCACACGTGACCTGAAAGATACAACCATGGCTCGCATTCCTGGCCAAACCCTAAACCTAAACCGTAATCGAGTGCGTTTGGTCAAGTCCGCACCCTCATATAAGAGTTAAGAATTTTACACCAAATCTTGGATAACTCAGAGATTAAAATACTAAACTGATAAAAAAAATATGATGGAAATATAATTCTATCTAAAAATATTTTCATTGAAAGTCTTGTTCAATTTAATGCTTCAACCTTGACATCGCTTTCAAGCGTTTAGCTGAAAATGCTTTTCAATTGTCTTTCCCTGGGATTTTCTTTTGGATTTTCCCGCACATAATTACCGAGTCTAGCTGTTTGGGGGCGGCTCTCGATTAGCCTTTTAGGTGCCCAACTTACTTGGCTCAGACCAGCTGTGGCAGTTGCCAGCCATTTCTTGGCTAATTGGCACCTCTTGGCATCCATAAAACGCTTAAATATTTCGTCTCTAGCCAAATTGGCTATGGTTTTGAGGTAGTTGTTCTATAAGATACTTGAGAATTGGCCAGAATTTGTGTTTTTCTTGTCTGTTGACGTTTTTAGTTTTTTCGCCGAGCATCCAACATGTTGCAAGAGCTAAAATGTTGCAATGAAAGTGATGCCATACTTTTATAGTTTTGGATATTTTAAGAAATAGGAGTATTTTAAGCCAGAGTTTCTTTTGGAAAATGTAAGAAAACTATGCTCTTATAAGTAAATATACCTAAAGCTTAATATACCTTAAAATTACTATATAAATTGCATATATTTCTTATAAAATACTTCTTTATGAATCTCTCTTTTAAGATCTGGCAACCTTAAAGATAGTTTCTCTCTGGCCTCTGTATTTCTCCCCCACATTTTTCCTCATCTCGTTACGGTTTTGTTTATTGTTTGGTTTGTTGGCCAGTTCGCCTCGAACCTGTTGTGTTGGCCCGCCTTTTGGGCCAAAACAGCCAGCCAGGTTTTAGTTCGAACTTCGCTCCAAACTCGTGCGGTTGGCCAAATAGAGCTCTACGGTCGTTTCCGCCCGAATCTGATTATTTATTAAACGCCAGAGAGTCTGTGTCTTGTAGTGGAATTTCTAGTGTAAACTAAAGAGTTTTAAATTTAAAAAAAATACAAAATTCCACTGCATTCATTGAGAAAACAAAAGTACGTGAAAGTGTCAGTGTATCAGTTTTTTTAGGGGGTCGTTTGTGAAACATTTGTGCAAATAATAGATTTAATTGTGACTTTTTTTTTTTTGGTTTTGGTTTTTGGCCATAAATTTCGCTTTCCAAGAAATAGAAAACGTTTTTAATTTGAGCAGCTCGCTTTTTATGAGATTTCGTACATGGTTTGGATGTAGTTTGGCTGTAGTTTTGTGCTGTTGTAGCTTACACTTTGGTAATTTACGGCGTCACGCCTTAATGACGTTTAACAAAAACAAAAAAAATCATAGCCATATAGCCGCCACAACTACAACAAGTCGGTCTCGGATGCACATTCTCATTCAAAATCGTCTAGGAGGGTGTTTCATCCTATTTTCTTGGCCCATATGGGCCTTGTCTCTTGCACGTGATTTTAGTCTTTATAGATTTTCCAGGGTCCACGCCCTTAATGTGGCATCTTCTCCTAAAAACCTTAAATAGAATATTTAAAATCAAAAAGCTGGAGATTCCTATAAAACTATGTAGTTTCCAACAAGCTTTCTTAAAATGCTCATCTTGAAGTCTGTATTTCTTGATTTCTTTCCACATTATAACTCCATTTCAACACCTTGGCAGCCAATCAAGCAAAGCTTTTGATTTCTTTAGGAATCATTGAAGTAATCGACTTTTTCAAAGCCGGTCTAAAGTGCATTTCAACACCCATCCCATCCCATCGCATATGAAGACCATCCCGGCTTTAACGCCCTTTTCTGTTCGCATTGTCGAGAGCCATCAATCAAAATCGAATCATTTTTATAGCCTTAATTACCCAGAGAGCATCCGTATAAATGTTTCCCGTCAGTGGCTGAACAATTTCATTGTTTGGTGGTCAGTGCAACTAGCTGGTTTTCCATCCAATCCTCATGACGATTTCGATTTTTTGTTGAATCGGATTTCGCTTTCGGAGAGCATTTAACGACGTTATCAGAGCGATATTAAGAGCCGCGTGTTGGAAAAATATTAACAACCATCTGGGTATCTCATCGTCATCAGTTGGATGTACATATTTGCGGTTAACTCTTCCACTGTCAGGCTTGAGGAGATTCGTAATGAAAAGTGAAGTGTGGCTGGCAGACCAGCCAATTGCGAAAGTGTGTCTAATATGCCGATGATGAGTTCGAAATTTCCTTTATTTTTCCTCCAAACTAGAGCTGGAGAGGAAAATAGCTAATAGGTGCAATAAAATAATAGAAAATTAGTGGAAAATCAAGATTTAAATCCTCAAGACAAGGTGCAAATTGGATATGGCTTCAAAACAGTGGCTATAGTTTGTGTGAAATTGCCAGATAATACCTGGAAAGATAATAAGATCTTCCATATAATTAAATCTTATCTAAAATCCAACAAAGTAAAACCTTATCGGCTAAAGCCCACCAAGGCAACTCAATGACGCACATTATAATGCCAACAATTCCAATTAAAAGATAAAAATACATCTAAAAAAAATATCTCTAAAAAAATAAATCAGCAAATCTCACCTAAATGGATGATGAATATTTTGAATATTTTCCCTATGACCGTCGTCGCAGTCATTTGAGAGAAAAGTGCGTATTATGATACCCCCTTCCTCACCTAGTCATTGTTGTTGTTTGTTGCACTTAGTTGTATTCCATAACTAATTCTTAAGAAAGCTCACCCGGACACGCCCCATTCAAAGTAGTAGTTGGCCAAGCCAACGCCCACAACATGGCCATAAATACTTTCACTCTTGTCCCCCTGACAAAAGACGTCAATTTCTTCAGTGAGTCAGGGCATTGTTTTCGTTGAAAATCGCAACAATCGCGACATTTCTTGACCTCTTATAATGTTGTTACCATTTCCAAAGAAATCAACTGAAGCATATCGAAATAATTGTTAAAGTAAAAGTCTCTTAAGTGTATAAAATCTTGAAAAGCTTGATATTCTTAAATCATATAATTATATTTTGCAATGCTGGGCCTCTTCCCAAAAACTTGGCTATTACTTTTTCTTTTCCGTGCCGCCCTTTCTCCAACTTTTTTATGAAACTCTCCCAGCATCTCTTCATAATTAAATTATACACCAAAATTGTAAAAGTATCAAGTCTGAAGCCCCAAGTCTGAAGTGGTTTTTAACAGTTTCAATTAGCTGAAGTTCCCAGCCCGCTTAATGAGCGGTTTTCAAGCCAGGTGAGTGAGCGAGGTGTGTCTGCAGTAGTTCACCCTTTGGCAACTTTTGGCTGAAATAGTAACAGCCAAGCCAAGTCAGGCGTTTCAACAATTTCTGCAACAGAAAAACTTGATTTGGGCAAAAGTTTCCTCGAAACAAATCCCAAAGAAATAAATAGAAAGAGAGGCCCCCAAACTATGTGGGTCAATCTCACCTGACTGGGACAGGTGTTTGTTCAACTTATTTTTACCTTGCTTTGTTTGCATTTTCCCCGCCTTGATTTTTGCTATATTTTTGCATAATCCGATCGTGATTGATTGACGCTGCTATTAGACATATAATGGATCAAAGAAAGACTGGGAAAAATATATGCAGAAAATAAAAGAAACCTCGAAAGAAGATAATGACATTAACTTGGATGGATTCATTGTCTGTTTATGTTTTGAATTTTAAGTAGCAAAGTTCAAGAAACTTTTGCCACCTTTATTTTGTTGATTATTTAACTTCTGAAGTACTGGGTGATCGTTAAAGTTTTCCGTCTACCGGTCTGGCTTTGACTTTTACTTTAATTTAAGCCGAAAGCCTCATAACAAGTAAGTCAAACAGGTTGATATTTCTGTGTAAAGATTCAACTTGTTATGAGGAGGTTCCCTTTGTCAGGTGATGAGATGGCTTTTCATTAACATTTACTTGCTAAAAGAGGCAAGTGACGAAGCAGAGGTAGTTAACTTAAGTGTAGTATTTTCTTATATATTTTTTTTAATATTGTGAGATGATTAGCTAAAGAGTGTTGGATTTAGTTGAAGTTTAACTAGTTTTTATAAAAAAAATAAGCTCACCAGAAAGCTGAAAAGTATGTCTGAAGAGTGGCGGTATCATATAGTCTAGAAACCCCCTTTTAAATTTTTAAAAATAAATATTACAACTCCATAGCTAGCGTGTGAATTCCGTAAGCCAAACAAAGTCTAAAAATTACATTAAAATCATTTCTAAAATTTATTCTAAATAACAATTGAAATACCGCCGCGATTTCCAGCTCCCACCTGACTCTGGTGACCCCTTCAGGGCAAAGGCTAACGAAGCGGAACGCAATGCGAGAATAAAGTCGAGAGGGGGTGGCCGGGCTGAAAGGCAGGAAAAATAAGCTGTAATTGTGGTGCTAAAAATTGGTAGTAGAGGTAGAGGAGAGTTTGTTATTCAACAGGTGCTTCGGTGGCTGATTTGACAGTTTTTTTGGATTTATTTATTTTTTACCTGGGGATGTTGGGTCTTTTGATTTATTACCCAGAGGAGTATTGCGAGGAGAATTACGAGGAGAATTCAAAAATGTCTCCCTAAGAAAGCTTCAAAAGGGAAACTCACAAAATTATGATTTCCTGTCGCAGTTTCGAATTAGTTTCGAATTTTCAAGCACTCCCCTGTCTGGAATTCAAGGTTACCCAAATGTTATAACTGATTTAGTCATTCAGCCTCCACACCCTGGCCCCCAACCCCTCAACCACTCCCTCAACCACTGCCAACGACCTTAATCATACACACATTTAAACGGTTTTTTTATTTAATTTTTTTTGGCTAAAATAGAGATTACATGGCATTACCTTGATCGTTTTTTTCTGTGTCTACAATTAACTGTCATTTTTTGGAGTCGTTATTTGACTTTTTTGTTTTATTTGGTTGTTATTTAAGAGTAACATGAAATTAGTAAATAAAATATAATTTATAACCCCTTATATAAGGGATAATATAACTTCTCTCAAGTCTTATTTTTTAGCTCCCATTTAATGTCAATTTTTATGAAATATCTGTCGATCAGTGTCTTATAAAAAGCGGTTTTCCTGCTAGCCTTAATTTCGGTTTTTTTTAAGCCAATATTGCGCAAT